AGGGAGAGAAGCACAAGGCCCGCTCTGCACAATGACTCAGAGGGCGACCTCCGGGACCACAGGTGAGGCTCACGTCAGCAAGCAGCTCCGCACTGCCCACTGCACGGCTTCCTCCTCCCTCCCGTTTCCCAGGAACTCCCCCCAGGTTCCTGTTGTAGGCCGTACGGGGGCAGCGGGACTAAGAATGATGACCTAAAAGAAAGTAGAGAATATGGTTTATAGGCTGAAGACAACGTGGGCGGTATTAAGTAAAAGGAATTGGTCCAACGTAATCCTGAAGTCCTCTTGCAGGGGTCACATGGGCACCTAGCGCCTCAGGGAGGCTCTTCTCTTTCTCTGCTTCCGTACCCTCCATGTTCTTTTCTTCTCTCGATCTTCAAGCATCCTAAGACACGGGGTGGGCTACGGGACCAGCGTGGAGGGTCCACGGGCTTCCTTCCCTGCAGAGTTCCTGAAGAGTCTATTCAATGCCCACCACGCAAGGATGCTCCTATTCTATCCCAAGCCATCCTCACAACAACCCACTGAAGCGAAGACTGGAGAAGACGGAGTAGACAGATGAAGCCCACCCTCCAGAGCCCCTCAGCCAGCAGGGAGAAAAGCCAGGGTCTCTCGGCGTGGGCAGAGCACTTTCAGACACCACAGCTGGAATGACTCAACTCCAGCCAAAGGTTCACCGGGAGCAAGGGCTGTGTTGCAGCCCAAGTGCCTTGTACGTGGAAGCAACCAATGCCTTCACTGGGAAAGGATGAAAGAAGGGGAAGAAGGTTAACGTCCCGGCCTCGGCCTGCCCCAGCCCAGGCCTTGCGGGCTCACTCCCGGGTCTGCCTCCCCCCCACCCCGGGGCCGACCCCCCTTCGTCCCCTTTCTAGCCCAAGGCCTGTGCTCTGTGCTTAATAAATGCAAAGATTAAGGGGCGCCTGGGTGGCGCAGTCGGTGAAGCGTCCGACTTCAGCCAGGTCACGATCTCGCGCTCCGTGAGTTCGAGCCCCGCGTCGGGCTCTGGGCTGATGGCTCAGAGCCTGGAGCCTGTTTCCGATGCTGTGTCTCCCTCTCTCTCTGCCCCTCCCCCGTTCGTGCTCTGTCTCTCTCTGTCCCAAAAATAAATAAACGTTGAAAAAAAAAAATTTAAAAAAAAACAAAAAAATAAAAAAATAAATGCAAAGATGAAGGAGAGAGTAGAAACACATGGGAAAAAAGTGAAAACCAACATTAAAAAAGAGAGATGACACCAGTTGAAGCTTTAAGCCTTGAACCTCTTCTTTAAAGGGCATTTTTTTTTTTTTTTTTTAAGTTAAGATGACCTCTTAGCAAGGAGAGGAAGCAGGGAGCTTTCCCTGTAGTGCGTCAGGAATGCCATCATCAGATTTATTAGCATGGTCAATGTTGACGACCTTAGCGGCCACGAGAGTGTGGGTGGAGGTTAGGGAATTAAAGGTGTGAGATTAGAAGCAAAATCGTGTCCTGGATGAAAGAGCAAAGAAGCAAACCAGCAACGCCCCAGGGGCTTCAAAGAGGGCAGACGGGCTGGGATCCCCCACCCCTGCCCAGTCCTGTCCACAGGTGGGGCAGAAGGGGGCCAGGGCTGAGAAGGACACCCCCTGGGCAACGTCACCAACCAGCAGCTCTCCTATCTGCGGGGCAACTACTCCTCACAAAAACCTATTTCAAGAAACCCCACCTCCCCTCCCACCTCCTCTTAGCGCCTTCTGCTCCTCCCAGATGTTCTGAGCCCGAGGATTTGCAAGGCTTATAGCTGCTGCAGGCCTAGCCAGAAAGGTTTTTCTCTAAACTGAGGAAAAGTGTTATGTTTGGGGTTTTAATGCTTTCAAATGCATTCCATTTTGTGTGCTTTGTTTTTGTGCTTGTGGGATTGGTGTGGCCTTTCCGTGTTTGTATGCACTGCAAGGCCAGAAATCCTAAACATTTACTTCCTTCAGTCCATGTTACATAAATGTTTATCAGCAGTGGTCAGGGGGGCCCCTCTGATTCACACACGGGCAATTTCATTCTCAAAACGCCTGCTCCCGTCTGCCAGCACCCCAGTCATCCCCCAACACATTTCTGACCCCTCACCTCACCCCGGGCCCAAACACCTTCAGCTGGCTACTAGTTGTAACAGTGATTTGCACAGAAACCGTATTTCTATCGGTAGTTTTGAGCGAGACAAGCTTGTATTTTTCATCTTTGTTCTCCTGATGGCCAAAATGGTGCTCTGAGGTCTTGGCATTTGTTTTAACAACAGCTTGTGTTTGGGGTGCCTGGGTGGCTCAGTCGGTTTGGCATCCAGCTTCGGCTCAGGTCATGATCTTACAGTTCGTGAGTTTAGGCCCCTCCATCAGGGTCTGTGCTGATAGCTCAGAGCCTGGAGCCTCCTTCAGAATCTGTGTCTCCCCCTCTCCCTGCCCCTCTCCTGCTTGCACTCTCTCAAAAAATAAATGAACATTCAAAAACACACAACAGCTTCTGTCTAATGCAAGCTTTCTATGTATTAGGCATTATACAAAGGACCTTGTTATGCATTATTTCATTTAATCCTAAAAGTTAGGTCTGGTTATCATCCCCATTTCGCAGATGAGGACATAGAGGCTCAGCGTCCAAAGGTAAGCTGCCTGAGAACACAAAGCTGTTACACAGCTCAGGTGGGATACAAATCCACCTGACATGTTCGTAAGCAGGGCAGTATATCACACGTGTGAGGAGAAACTGTGACAATCCAAGCTCTTCAGAAATAGAGACCTTCCAAGGTTTTCTATCAGAAACAAGCAAAGCAGGACGCCTGGGTAGTTCAGTCAGTTAAGTGACCAACTCTTGATTTCAGCTCAGGTCATGACTTCCCAGTTCATGGGATCGAGCCCCACGTCAGGTTAGGCTGACAGCTTGGAACTGCTTGGGATTCTGTCTCTCTCTCTCTCTGTGCCACTCCCCTGCTCACACTCTCCCCCTCCCTCTCTCTCTCAAAATAAGTAACTAAACATTTAAAAAAGAGAGAGGGTGGTGCCTGGGTGTCTCAATTGGTTCAGCATTCAACTTCAGCTCAGGTCACGATCTCAAGAGTTTGAACCTGGCATTGGGCTCTTGAGCTGACAGCTCAGAGCCTGGAGCCTGCTTCAGATTCCATGTCTGTCTGTCTGTCTGTCTCTCTCTCAAAAATTAACATTTTTGGGGGCACCTGGGTGGCGCAGTCGGTTAAGCATCCGACTTCAGCCAGGTCACGATCTCACGGTCCATGAGTTCGAGCCCCACGTCGGGCTCTGGGCTGAGGCTTGGAGCCTGTTTCCGATTCTGTGTCTCCCTCTCTCTCTGCCCCTCCCCCATTCATGCTCTGTCTCTCTGTGTCCCAAAAATAAATAAAAACGTTGAAAAAAATTAAAAAAAAAATTAACATTTTTTTTAAAAAAATTAAACAAAATAAAAAAGAGAGAGAGAAAGCACTTTGGATAGGACTATTGGGCCTGCCAGGAATTCACACCCCTGATCCACCCACCATCCCCCACCCAGAGCCACTTCCCCATGTCGTCCACTTGCATATCTTTCACCCCGTCAACCTAAGAGGCGTAGCCAGAAAGGGAACGAGGCCAGCTTGGCGCAGCTTGTTTGGACTCTGCACATCACAGCCTCCTTGCTGATCACTCACCCGCCATCTGGTTAATAAGCCCTTTGGACAGTTTTCCAGAGCTCCCTCGAGCTCAGCTGCTCGTCTGGGTTCACGGAATCCCGACAATCTCCTCCTTTATTGAAAAATCTGGACACCGCTCACCTACCTCCAGGCTCACGGCACTTCGGGCACCCCGTCTGACAACCCAGTCCCCGCGCTCGAACAGGATGGCCCCCCTGGAGACAGCACCTCCCGTGTCCATCATCGTCTGGCACTCAACACTCCAATTAGGAACTAGAACGGAGGCCTCCCTGCTGGGTGACTGCCGCGTGCCTCACATCACAACCGAGATCTGTGCCCCCAATCACCCCACTGAGCACAGTTCCATTTCTCTGCCCGCACCTCCATTCACTCACCAGCCCCTTTTGGTTACTTTACTGAGTGGCTGTCCTCCTTGACCGACATCTAAATAGCACCGAACGCTTCACGATCTCCTGTGCTAAGGGTCACCTCATCTCTGGGGCGCCTGCGTGGCTCAGTCAGTTAAGCGTCCGACTTCGGCTCAGGTCATCATCATTATATGGTTCATGAGTTCAAGCCCCACGTCGGACTCTGTGCTGACAGCTCAGAGCCTGGAGCCTGCCTCGGATTCTGTGTCTCCCTCTCTCTGCACCCCTCCCCCCATCGCACTCTCTCTCAAAAATAAACATTAAAAAAAAAATGTAATGAATAACGTTCATCTCATCTTTGGTACGATCTATTTTCTTTATCCTAATTTCCACATTCCTGGGTTCTGAGTGCCTTTTCCCCCAGAAAAGGAGACAGTTCTGAACCTTTTAGCAGGTTTTTGATATGGTATTTTTAAAATGTCATTACACAGTAACTCCCTCACCAAAGGAAATAAAGAACGAGGCGTTGTTGGGCTTGCCCCCCCCCCCACCCGTCTTCCCTGTAAGGTCTGGCTGCGGCTTTTCTCCATGTGCTCATGTATTTTCCAGCTTGAAACCAGCTGCCTGAGAGAGGAGGAGAAGGTGAGGTATGGCTTTAAATCACCATTGAGGGTATAGTAAATAACCCATTCCCTTATTCCCATCACAGCCCTAATAACCTTCTAGAAAGTTCAGAGCCCCAAGCCTTCACTGCCCTCCCCATACCCCTCCCCACAGGGTGCAGACACCCAGTGAAGGAGGCATCGGCCTCCCCAGGCAGTTTCGGCTGCTGGAAGGACCATCAATCTCCAGGCTCTGACAGACAAACGAGGCAAGAAGGAGACCAAGTCTGGTTTTTCACTGGAGAACAATGAGCTCATGCTTTCTCTCCAGGGACCCAGGAAGTGGAGACAGCTCTTGAGATGGGGAGACAGTGATGGAGACGGGCAGGAGTGATGAAGGATGGGCAGGCGAGAGGGAGGAGGCCAGTCTGGCACTTTTTTAATGTCACTTTTGATAAGAATCCCCAGCTTTCAGGCCAGAGGGAAACATCCATTTTCTTTAAATTAAGGATCCAGCATGAGGCAGTTGTCCTAAAGGGGAGGGACAGCGAGAAGATAAACTGGTCGCAAATTCTTCATTCCTGCTCCTTCAGAGAAAAGATGATCGTTCATGAGTCACCAAAATTGCAGATGCCACAGCACAAATGGCTCTACTTTGCTGCTGCTGCTCGGAGGTGGGGTCCAAGATCAGATACATGGACAGAGACTTTGGGTAGCTTTTTTGAAGGTGGGTCTGCAACCCTCAGTGTGCATCTCTAGAAGGCAAAAGGCCAGTCATTTCCAACAAGCTGAACCAGTAAAAAAAAAAAAAAAAAAAAAAAAAAATTCAGACAGCTGCCCAGATGTTTTTAAACAGCTAAATGAAGGTTTGATTTCAGCTAGGGGGAAAAATATCCTGATTACAGAGTTTTCATCTGAAAAGGGAGTTATATAATCCTGATTTTCTTTACTAGTTAATTCCGAGAAACTGTGTGTGTGTGTGTGTGTGTGTGTGTGTGTGTGTGTGTCCGTCCGTCCGTCCCTGGGTATCCGTGTGTGAGCATATGTGTATTGGGGCAAGAATGGAGGAGGCTGGGTTGTAGATGAGAAACCAAACCCAGATGATTATTTCAGTCTTCAACCTGCTGTGTGCCTTAGCTAAAACCTGAATGGAAACTAAAGATTACAGAAACAAAGTAGAAGGCCCCAATAAATTATGTTTTTCTTTACATCTCTATTTTACCAAAATATCTTTGTATACATTTTAGTTTTTCTAATGCTTATTTTTGAGGGACACACACACAGAGTGCAAGCAGGGGAGGGGCAGAGAGAGAGGGAGACACAGAATCTAAAGCAGGCTCCAGGCTATGAGCTGTCAGCACAGAGCCCGACACCAGACTTGAACTCACAAACCGTGAGATCAGGACCTGAGCCGAAGTTAGATGCTTAACCAAGTGAGCTGCCCAGGAGCCCCTCTATTTTACAAAATTGACCTTTTTCTCCTTTAAGTTAAATGGCTTGGCTAGAATAAGGAAGTGTTAACTTAGCCTGACTCATTAGTTGAAATAAAACTCAAACCAAAGTATGAAAATATGAATAGTGAATTACTCTTCTGTGCTGTGTCCATCAGCACTATTGTGGTTGAGAGCCTGGGCCCTGGAGCCAGCTTGCCTGGGGTTAAATCTTAGCTTTGACACTCTCTGGTGTATGATCATGGCCAAATTAATGAAGCCCGCTGTGCCTCCACTTAAAGGGATAGGATACAAATATCTACCCCCTCGAGAGTACTGTGAGAATTCAGTGAGGTAATACAGGTAAAGCACTTAACACCTGCTACAATGGAAACTCTCCATAATTGTTATTATTATATCTTCAGCCATACTCTATCCATGTAAGATGAAGATTTGTTTTATGTGTCAGATGCCAGGTAGGTTTTTTAAGACATGCAGTGAGCACCTATCTGGCATGCTTTGGCAAAAGAAATGCACATCCTAGGAGACAGGCTGCCCGCGGCCCGTCTCCTTCCTGCCTGGTGTGCTTCCTCAGCCAGCTCTGACATGCCCTCTGCCCCCACCCCAACCCCAGCTCAGGGCTTTCCCCGAAGGCTCCGACCCTGGCCACATCCTACCACCCTGCTCCTGCCTCAAGGACTGACACCACCGCCTCCCACATCCAGCCACTCTAACCCTGGTTACACCAGTGACCATCTCCAACCCGTCTACACCCCGCATCTGTGAGATCCTCACTTCCACAACAAAAGAAACATCACTCTGACTACACAGCATCAAGTACAGTCTGAACACCCATAACCAGACAAGTCGCCATGTGGAACAAGCCTCTGACCCATGAGGATAGCACCACTTAGTGTCCCCTAACCAGAACCTGATGATCGTGGGTCAAAGCCAAGGTGGAATTTTTCTTTTAAACTTCCTGGAAATGCTGCCCCCCATTCCACCACCCAATCAAAAGAGAAAAACCTGAGTCAGAGAATATCAATGTTTGGTAAAGAGTTGGGGGGGGGGGGGAGAAGCTTTCGACTGGTTGATGGGAGTGTGAATTGTTACAAACACTTGACCAAATCAAGTGAACTGGTGATGTTGATGTCCAGTGGCCCGAAATCATGCCCCACCCCCGGACAAACTCCTGCACATGTGCCAAGAAGGAGAGGTCCACAAGGATGCTCCATATGGCACTGAAGGTCCGTCAAGTAGGAGACAGAAAAATCAAGTGTGGTTATATTCACAGGATAGAATATTCTATATAGTTTAAATGAATAACCTAGGGGTGCCTGGGTGGCTCAGTCGGTTGAGCGTCCGACTTCAGCTCAGGTCATGATCTCACAGCTCGTGAGTTCGAGCCCCACATCGGACTCTGTGCTGACAGCTCAGAGCCTGGAGCCTGCTTCGGATTCTGTGTCTCTGCCCCTAACCCACTCACATTCTTTCTCTCTCTCACAAATAAACAAACGTTAAAAAAAATAATAAATGAATAACCTAGAACCGTGTATACTGAGACAGAAACAGTCCCCAAAATATAACGCTGAGTGAAAAAACAACTGTAGAGTTCCACCTACTGTACCTTCTTTTTTTGTATTTTAAGTTTTTTCTCCCATAAAATATTGTCTTCTGGGATCCACGAAGAAAGAATACAATCATATTCAAGAAGAAATCCACCCATTCCCTTAACAAAAATCAAAGGCACATCATCCAAGTTTTAATGGCAAGATACCCTCCTGGGGGGCCGGGCCGCTCACCTCCTGCTGATCTCCTCCCAGGAGCATCTCACTAATCACCTATGCATCCCATTCACCTCCCCTAGCGCACGCAGGTGCTGACCCCGCGGATGGATGCCAACAGGACAAATGAGACGGAGACCCAGGAAAGCACAAAGGATACAGGACACGGTGAGCACCACCCGGTGCTGGTGGAGGGAGGGAAGGTCGTGGATGGCTGAGGACACCAGGGAATGCTGGGGAAAGGAAGAGGACCATGTTCTTCAGCTTGGTGGGATGTAGAACATGGGGGGAAGGGGTAGCGTGGGGCCCGCCAGCGGCCAACGAACCCACAGTTGACTCAACGGGAGCAAACTACTACAGAGCCAGAGCTTGGTGGAGTCCCACAGGCGATCGTTTGGGTTGATGCCAGAGTACCGAGTGGAGAACTCAGGCAGGGGGCTGTCCTAGTTGTCCAGGCATCAGTACGCACCCAGAGTACAGAGTACGGCTAGAGGCACGGACTAGGAGGAGACATGTGGAGCCCTTCTCGTCTACACTGGCTTCCTTGCCCCTTGGATTTGACCTGCTCCTGCAGGGACAGGTGCAGCATCGTTCTCCCTACACGTGGCGCTAGGACCTCTGCTGCAGGGCAGCCGTACTTTCAGGGCATAGGAGCAAAGAGGTGGTGAGTGGATGCCCTCTGGGATCCCAGGCATCCAAAATGAGTGAGCTGATAGAGTGGGAGAGAGCCAAAGCATAAGAGACTGTTGAGAACTGAGAGCAAACTGAGGGTTGATGGGGGGTGGGAGGGAGGAGAGGGTGGGTGATGGGTATTGAGGAGGGCACCTTTTGGGATGAGCACTGGGTGTTGTATGGAAACCAATTTGACAATAAATTTCATATATAAATTAAAAAAAAAAAATGAGTGAGCTGAGAAGAGCAAATCATCCTAATGGAGTAACCCACTCCTTGAGAGGCTGCCCAACGCCTCCCTAAGTACAATGAACGTTGCTCCTGGGCCCCTCGGGGTTTGCACTCGGGGCTTCACTGAAATCAGCAGCCAGCACACAAAAGCAGAGTGAGATAAGACAGACAGACAGCCATCTCTTACGTAGTTGTGCAAGGCCTCAGGGAGCCACTCCAATCACTGCAATGAAACAGAACTGGTGCAGCACCAGCCTGGCAAGGTGGCTTTCAGAAGGGGACCCAGCATCTAGAAAGCAGAGCTAAGAGCAGGAGCACTCCACAGGAAGGGCTGGAGGGGCGCCTGGGTGGCTCAGTCGGTGTCCAACTCTTGATTTCGGCTCAGGCCATGATCTCACAGTCATGAGATGGGGCCCCGCATCCAGGTCCGTGCTGGGTATGGAGCCTGCTTAAGGTTCCCTCCCCCTCCCCTACTCTTCCCCCTCTCGGGCTCACTAGCTTTCTTGTTCACTCTCTCTATCTATCTCTCCCCCAAAAAATGAAAAACAAAGTAGAGGCTAGAGGGGGAGGAAGTCAGGACAAACCCAAGTCATTGGAGGGGCGGAGGGGCAGGGGGGCCAGGGAGCAAGGTGGGAATAGAATGGTTAAAAGAGGGAACAGGCAGCTATTACTGGAGAAATTTCTATTCACTTATATTTTTCTTGCTTAAAGAAGACGGAATACATTAAGATTTTCTAGATAAAGATAAATAATAAGACTCCACCCCAGGGAGTTAGAGCTCCAAGTACGCATCATAGCCATGTTTTTGGGAACAGAGGGAGACTCTAAGGAGTCGAAGGGTTTGAGGGCAGGTATGAGGCCATCAGAAGTACATGGAAACTGAACCACTAAGACAGGGAGATAGACACCTGGAAATGAAGAATACCACACAGAGAGCCCCCATTCTCTCCTGTCTCCTGCCCAGGTCACAGCAGCCTTCCGCCCCCTCCCCCATCCCCTTTGCTCCCAGGATATCTGTCTCGGTGCTTCCTTCTTTCTACTGGGCCAGCCACTGCAATCTCTCCCTCACCGGGCTGGGTCACCTATGGCTCCCCAACTCCCCTACCCCGGCCCTACACCCTGACAGCTGTCTCCGGTCTAAGGTCTCAGCTGCTCTCAGTCCCTCCCTACTACCTGCTCTCCACAAACTTTTCCCAGCATGTCCCTCAGTCTCTCCATGATTTAGAAGCCCCAACTCTTTCCTTGTTGCCTAGTCGGTGGGCAATGTGATGTGGTAGGAGAACTGGACCAGAATTCAGAAAACCCAGGGTCAGCCTAAAACACATAGGCGTTGACTATTTGGTATGGATTAGCCAGCTCGGGCTTCCAGGACAAAACACCATGGACAGGTGGCTTAAATAACATTTATTTTCTCCCAATCTGGAAACAAAGCCCAAGATCAAGGTGCCAGGGCTGTTTTCTGAGGATACATCGCCTCCTAGCTGCCTCGCTCTATCATCACATGGCCTTTCCTCTGTGGCGCACAGAGAGGAAGGTAGAGGAGGGAGGGACTGGGATCTTAGAGCACCAGCTCTATCCAGGCAGGGCCTCAGCCTTATGGCCTCATTTAACATTACTTCCTGAAGCCCTTATCTCCAA